AAAGTTGTCCAGCTTTTCTATTCCAAAACAAAACTGGCGATTACCTCAATTTAACCTTTATGTAATTATATTAATGCCTGCATTAGGATGTTCCATATCAATCTTAAAACAGTGTAATACATACATTTCACTATAATCGGTGCACTGATCTGTGAACGACTCACCTCTTACTATACTATAGGTAAGGTCTTCTATAGGGGTGTCTATGTCCGTGCACTGAATAGTTGTTATTCCTACATCAGTCTTCAGAGTGGAATAAATTAGTTCCTCATAATAAGGAGGTTTACACACAGGTGGGTTGTCATTCTCATCCTGAGTTTTAGAAAACAAATTTCCAAACCGTTCAATCTCAAAAGTTTAATTCAAAGAGTCCAGAACAACACTAGACATAGTAATAATAATGAGCACACTAGCCCTGAGATTAATTGTACATATAATTACACACCGTCACAGGTCTTTAATTGAATGAGTATCAAAGCTCTTGTGTTGTAGTGCACAATTTCCTTTGAATTAATTTTCTTTTCCAGACCAGCATTGTAGTTTTCAGTTAATTGTGAGTAAGGCTTGCTCTGCGGCAACAAAACTTTGATAATATACCGTAAGTCCAACAGGAAAAGTAAGGAAGTATTTGGAATGAGAAGGAATTGAGGAACTGTTTAATTAAATGCACTGAATGCACACAATCCTTCATAGCTTGTCAGTTACATTACTGTTCCCCATTGAAGCATACATTTATTAACAATTAAGCATGCAGTATAATGAATTCCCCTTACCTGAACTCTGACAGTGACAGTACAAAAGGCAGTCTTCTGCATCTGTGGATCAGGGGAAATGTCCTGGTTCATGTCCACAGCCTTGATCTTCAGTTGATAAATTGTTTGCTTCTCATAGTCCAGGTGAGAAAGAACATGGATTTCACCTTCAAACAAAGAAACGCTGATTTCATGGGGACATCCTATATGTGTACATGTTCTAAATTTCTTATACCTGTGATACCACACTTATGCTTCGATTAGACTGCGTGGTACATTCTCTACATGCAGAAAAAAAGTAGTGTTTACCTGTTGTTACCACAAGAATAAGAACAGTAAAGAAGAATGATACTATTGGACATTTAATCCATTAGGTCAAAACAAAAACATGTGTCCTCAGGTATAACCCCAGCAATGCTGACTGGACAAAGGAATCAAGCACAAATCTTTTCACCTGCAGAAAAAAGGATTAATTGGTGCCACTAAAACTGGAATTTCCCATGTCTTTAATTTAATTTTAAAAAGGTGCAAACAGATGCTCACCACTTCTGGGGTCAATGTAGAATTTTGGGGGGTTGTTGCCTGCGCCCCCGGCGATGCTGTACTCGACATTATTGAAGGGCCAGTCTCGATCTGTGGCATTGACCTGGCCAATGACAGTGCCCAGGGGGGCATTCTCGTTCACCTGCATGGCCTGAGGGCAGGGGCTGAAGACAGGAGGGTGCTCATTCACCTGGGTCACCGTTATGTATACTGGGATTGTAGCTGGAAGATTAAGAGAGCAAAGAGAATTCCGCCCATCGATCATTTTGGTAGTTAGTAGATAATTATCTCAATATGATCTCAGCCAGCGGTTGTTTCATACTCTTACCACCCTTTGGGTAAAGATGTGCGTCTTATTCTTAGTTTTAAATGCACTCCTACATAGTTCTAGCTTGTAACCTCTTGTTCATAGTTCACTGTTTATGTTAGTACGGGACATTTTTAATGCAAGACCTGACCTGCACATTATACAATGTCAACATATTTTCCTTGCGTTTAAATCTACACTTTGTTTACCTTGCTTATTGCTCTCCCACATTGTCTAGGGAAGATGTGTCAACATAAACACCTAAGCCATTTTCTTAAGCAGGCCCTTTGAGCTCAGCGTTTCCCATTTTGGGTTTATAGTTTATGTTTCCCCTAAGAGTAATTGTCTGCATCACCATCTGCCAGATGGCAGTGTTTGCCCAGTCTTGTATTTTATCCAAATCTTTTGAATCTTTTTGCTATTTACACGCTACTTGTTAATCCTCCTATTTTGGCATCACCTGCAAACCTGACTAAAATTTCGCGTTTAGACAAACTTAACTTGACCGAGGTCCTACTTATGGACTCGTGGACTGCTTAATTAAACCCCCTGAATGAAAAGGGCACATAGAAAGATCCATTTAGCAGGACTCTTCCCCACCTCATTCAAATAGAGCTCTTAAATTTGTTACTGAACTAACTGGCCGTTGCCTATGATTAATCTTCCTGGGCTTGAAATAAAAACTGCAAAACTAAGAACCAGTGGACCTGGAGTTTACACTTTGAGTTCAGTAACATTGATCTATAGGTCTAAAAACACATGGAGTTGAGAGGGTAAGCTGAAGCTTTGAAAATACATTTCTAGAATACAGAGGTTGCAAGGAAAAGACAACAGCATTCAGAAAACAGCACATTTCACTGAATGGAACTCTCATCTATAGAGCATGTTCACCGGAATGATAAGGGGAGATTTTTTCCTAGGAATCCGCTAGGTTTCCTCTATATTCTGGACTCATATGTATTTTTAAAACAGTTGAATTTTTCTGGATTTGGAAATTGTGCAAAGAAAGCTTTGAAGGCATTAAAGTCCAGTTTTGAGCAAGTAAACCCAAATCATTTAAGTTAATGTACAGTGGTTTGACAACCAAAGCCTAATTGTGAAGCAAATAAAAGGCACTTCAAGTCAGCAGTTATTGTATCTACTCTATATACTGTATATTACAATTTTTGATAAGCAACTGTTTCACTTTATTGTTACAACTACTACTACTGCTAATTACACCAACATTAATAATCACACCAAAAAAAGTCGACTTACTTGTCAGTGGAGGCTTTCCATTGTCTGTTACGATGATACTAGCAGTGTACAGAAAATTAACATTTGCCACTTCATAGGAATCATAATCCAATGTACTGTTCAACTAGGGAAAACAAGCAGAGAAGCAAAGAAGGGTTTCCAGTAGAATCTTACAGTGAAGGCAGACTTATTGACAAGGTAAGATCAGATCACTTTATTGGCCATATACAATTTCCTGCATTCGGAATTTGTCTTTTCGCAGACCCCAGCTTGCTCTCCTTGAGACACACAGACAGGGAGAGAGGCCTGGGGTCAGAGCACAGGGTCCGTTATTGTACAGCACCCCTGGAGCAGCTGGGGTTAAGGGCCTTGCTCAGGGGCCCCATGGAGTAGGATTCCCCTGCCAGCTGTGGGATTTGAACATGCAACCTTCCAGCCACAGGCTCAGATCCTTAGCTAGAATGCCACCGCCCCGCCCCAGCTTTTACACGACCCACAAGGGTGTAAGAATTTTTATACAGAAAACACAAAGAAAAAAAAAAACAATGTCAATTCAAATGGCAATATAAAAAGTTAAGGAAAAAAAGAGAGGTCGGATGAATAACCCGTGACACGGGCAGCTCTCGAACCAAATCAACAATTTGCTCACCACCAAATACCCGCCCTGTGGCGAGATCCGGAACTTGTCCTTGGAGTTCTCGTTAGTAACGATACTGTATGTTAGGCTGCTGTCCATCCTGTCCATGTCCACACACTTCACTGGGTCATCACTCGGAAACTTGTATCCAATGGGTTCCGATTCCTTTATTTGCGCTCTGTTCATCGACAAAAGACCACATTTGTTTGCCAGCCTGTGCGTTTGTTTAGGACCCCCCAGTGTTGGCTGGGCTTCATTTCAGCTGTGCTCTCAGCTTCACAGAACCCTTAGCTGAGGGTAACAATGTGCAGAATTAGACCCGTTCCTTTGTCGTCAGGTTTCAGTTAGACACATACTGCAGAAGACTCCATTAAGCAATTTGAGATCTACTGTACAAGTCTGCAGCTGCAAACTATTAAAAATGTTTAATTCACGTGACGATTAGTGCAGTTCAGGGGTCAGTTAACTGAGAGCTCAGCTACCACATGAACCAGAAGACAGAGGGCCCCCCATAGAAACACACTGAACTACTCTCACTGTCACACTAAAATGTAATAACGGACACATCTGAGTTTCTGAAAGCAGACCCTGCAACAAAAAAAGTCATAAGGAAAGTTGGAAACAAGAGACTCCATCTTTCCCTTTTACACAGGGAATAGAAAAGAAAAAATGAAACCTCAGCTCATTCTTCTTCCTCAAGAGGAAGATTGAGAGTGGTCTTAATGGTAAGTCTAAAAATACCATGCTTATCCTCTCTTTAGCTCAGCCGATGTTAATCATTCATATACAGTAGTCACGGGAGCAGCACACATTACAGCAGCAGGAGAGAGGGAGAGAGAGAGATTAGATAAAGACTCCTCACACAATGAGAGCTGGGTGGCATACAGGTGGGAATTCATTGACGTCCCTCACAGTGATGGAGACCGTCGCTGTGGCGCTGACTTTATGGATCGGGTCGTAGGCCTGCACCAGAAATACCGTGGAGTTCAGGTGAGGGTTCGCCTCCAGATCGAGGTTGTAGGTGGTTCTGATTTCACCTGTCCCTGGAGAGCAGAAAAACATGAAGCTGATCAACTCTGGCAATTCTCCCAAATTCCTCAGTATGCACATGTGCTAATCTGCTCCACCCCTGCTGGGATTCGATCACCCTGTACACTAGCAGGCAGGGCCTTGTGACTCAGCAGAAACCTACACCGTCTGGGTTTCAAAAGGATGATGTCACTTCTGTGACATGCTCGCTCTGCCGAGCCCTGTTACACAAACACACAGTATTCCAGGGGTCTACAACCCTGATCCTGTAGGAACACTGTTTTCTGGTTTTTACAACAGTCAAATTCCTAGTCACAGACCTGACCACTTGATTTCAGCTTTCAGCTGAACTGGCTTTAATCTCTTATAAGTTGAAATGGGATTTGTAATTAATATCAACCCTGTACCCATTTCTGAGTTTTACCAATGCCCTGATTCAGGTGTGTTGTCTCAAATGTAACAAACTGGACCTCAGCAGAAGGAAAAAATACTCACTGATGTCTCTCCTACCTGTGTCTGTTATCATCAACTGATTAAATAGAAAGTGATGTTTAATCAGAAATAACAGAAAGCAAGCTGAGAAGATGTTGCATAAAGTCCTGTCATTGGAAACGGTACTCTTGAATCAGGGTATTTACATATGATACTCAGAACTGACTGAAAAGGCAAATTAAATAAAAGACTAAATAATCAAGCACATCAATTAAATCATCAGCTAACATTGGAGACATAGAGCTCGCTGCAACAAAAGCCAGCAGACTCCAGAACCAGAGTTAAGAATCACTGCAGTAGACACGTGCACATACATACATATATATAGCTATTTAATGCAAAAAAAACACATTAAAAACCCATTTTTTAGGTTTAAACCTTGTCATTTTTTTTTCTCCTCTGTGTCTGGTTTTCAATATTTGAGGATGGGTGCAAACGTAAACCACATTATGAGCGAGCTAAAAAACACACAGAATTTAGTATTTCTTTGTTACTTTTGTAGTCAGAGTAGGTTTCAGGCAGAATTTAAACTGACAAAATGGTAATAATGTCCTCAAGGAACAGCATGATACAGCATGAAATAGCAGAAAGCATGGAACAATGTCTAGAACCATCTTTCCCTTTTCAGGGACTATTTACATCTTTGGGTAACTCCAGAAAGAACAGTGATGTGAGAATGGGAAAGGCTTACGCTGATGGATCTGATAAGCAGCATATCCTCCCGAGGTCTGGGGAACGATCTGATAGTAGATATCTGATCCTTTAGCTAAGACCGTCATGACGGAGGCTCCTGGCCCAGTGTTCTCATCAATGGATACAGCGTAGCTGCTCTTCCTGACGAAAGACAGATCACAGATGTGTCCAGCATGCAAATTCCACCCCAAAGATTAAAAAAAAAAACATGGAAAGAATTAGCTTCATTTTAAATTCAATGCGACATTTCATTCTGGTGGGCAGAGTATTTCTTTCATTGCACAGCCCTCGTTGCTTCCTTGCACAAAGCTAAAGTCCTCAGATGGATCACTGAACCCCTCTAAGTCAGTTGTTCCCCAGGTTTACAACTAAAAAAGGTGGCTGCAGTACGTACAGCCGTATCAAGGTCCTGTCATTGCTGTGGAGGGACTGTGCTGAGTTGCAGGTGTCCTGGATGGGTCCACGGATCACCTGCTGCGATAACTGGGGGGCGCTCGTTGTCGGATTGGGAATAACCGCGCCCCCAGCACGTCAGCAATGCTGTATACTCACGGGAAGGTGACATTGGCGGTTTCTACGGGCAACACCTTCACATGGAGAATTCCACTGCACGATGTACCATTCATACCATTGACCGTTATGGACAGCTTGAAGCTCTATAACCAGAAACAGGAAGCTCTGAAATACTTTGTCTTCTCCCACCAGGAGAAGACAAAAGTATCCATTTTGATGTAGGTTAAAACATTGTAACAGAATCTGTGCTTTGGTTCCTAATGAACTGCTTAGTCTTCTAACACCCAATAGATAAAAACCTAAACATGGAAACAGGCAGATGGAAGAGAAGATGTCTGCAAGATTACTGCATCACATCACTATTTCAAAATTTGAAAGCCTACGTGTTTGTTATCAAACTGTTAGTATTCTACGTACTTTATTGAAATCAGAGATCGTATATATGAAAGTCAATATTATACAGCATCACCTAAAGAAAGTGCACCTAATTGTGTCTTACAAAGGGTAACAAGCTTTCTGCACAAGCTTACACCACTGAGCAGGAATGGATAAGGTGTGTTCTTTTAAAACATGCTACCTACAGTATAAGGCATAAACTGTGAATTTGAGCTTGGTCTACATTGTAAAATGTTGTGCTGAGACTTGCCTGTAAGGAAAAAATTGGCTCTTTGAACGCTTTTAATTGAAAGAACACAGAAGAAAAGTGAGAGAATACTCGAACTGAACCATGAAGAAGTCACCTTCTTTGCATGAGAGTATTTCAGTATTTTCCCAGCACTGAGTACACAAATACTCAAAAGGCTGCTTGCATAGTTACAGCTTTGTCATCAAAGGTATCGCTAAAGTTGAAAGAATACAAACGAAACTATACACATAGCAACATGGCAAGAATAAATGTCATGGTATAGTACATGCTTCTTTAAATCGAATCAAAAAGTCAACAGAACAGTGCTACACTTGGTCCTAACGCTGTTTACATCAGTAAATACATGATGACAAAATCTATCTATTTTTTAACACACTACTTCCTTCTCACCCGCACAGGAGAGTGCAAGATTGCTCTGAGAGATTGTAGAGCTAAACCTTTTTAGAGATAAAACTTTTAAGTCTTAATGTTAAAGATTATTTAACTATAATATTTGTAATCTCCGTGTTGAATAAAAGGCTTCATGTTTTAAAAGAATGTGGTATGTTTTATGATGTTAGTACAAACTGCTGCACACATTTACGAGCCGTTCTGTAGGCGGCATTTTCATTCATGAGAGCAAATGGAAAACTGTGATGTCTGTCCAGTGCTCTTAGAGAATTTTACACTATTCTGGTTAGAAATCGAAGTAAGTGTGAGCCTGGCCAGCACATGGATGGGAGTTGCTGCAGGAAGAGGTGTTAGTGGGGCCAGCAGGGGGCGCTCACCCTGCGGTCTGTGTGGGTCCTAACGCCCCAGTATAGTGACGGGGACACTATGCTGTAAAAAGGCGCCGTCCTTCAGATGAGATATAAAACTGAGCCCCTAACTCTCTGTGGCCATTTAAAAGGTGTTTCTCGAAAAGAGTTGGGGTGTTACCCTCAGCTTCCTGGTGAGATATCCCCCCTGGCCTTTACCAATCATGGCCTCCTTATAATCCCCATCTCTGAACTGGCTTCATCACTCTACTCTCCTCCCCACTGAGAGCCTGTCTGAGAGTGTACTTAATAACGGTTAGCACATGGAGGGGACACAGAGTTTTGCGCTTTATGCAGAAGCTATTGGAAACAATATGCTTGAAGAAGGTTTTTTTTTTCGAAATTCAGGATTGAGGGTGGAAACAAAATCAACAAAAAGATTAAACAAGTCATCAGATCAATTAAAGGCATCAGTGAGTACTGGTGACAGCTGGCATGAAAACCAGCAGACAGAGTGGTTCCCCCAGGGTGAGAGACAGGAACCACTGATCTATGGTTATTCCACTCCTGTACATTCAAACTCTAACCCTACACCTGGCCTTACAGTAAACCTTTATAAGTACCGTCACACTGTACAAGGGCATCTGCAGAGGCTGCATTCATTCAGTTTTACAATGCAACATCCAAACAATCAATCAAAAAGGCATATGGCAGAGGAACCGATTACAACTACTTAATTTTAACCTACCCCCTCTTTTTAAAAGCCAGTGATTCAAGCCATTGCTCCCTCCTGCTTACTAAAAACAATAACACTTCCATTCCTTCATTTTCTTTCCAAGTGAGAATGCCAGAAAGTTTTTATTATTATATAAATAGTCTTACCCCTGGGCCACTAAATCCTTTTTCAGGACTCGTAACACTTCCAGTGTTGATGTTTATACCAAAGGGCTTTTCAGGAGTCATTGAGTACTGTTAAGAAGAAAACATTGTGAATGATACCTGTTCTTATGATGGGATTTCAGAAGATTTGTAAGACAATGTGATGCTTCGATATACTGTATACAGTCATCTGATACTACTGCGGTAATAACTAGTGTCTTATTTATATGATATCTTTTTAAAGGGTAACAGCTGTTACCTTATAGCTGCCTGGGTTGGGATCAGCAGGATTCACAATGTAAATGATGGAAGAGGGAGCAAGGTTCTGCAGGACCTGTACTGTGGCTCCTCCTGCCAATCAATCAATAAATCAATCAATGCCCGAACATCGTTAGCGATCCATGGTTTATCACCACATTTTATTTATGAATCAATCAACTGGGGACAAAACAAAGAAATACAGTATACCCAAAAGAACTTGTATACAAATGCAGAAGATTAAAATAAGATTCATAATGTTATTATGAATAATAACACAAAGGCAACACAAAATAAACCATATTATTAAATCTGGATACTGAAATTCCAATATCCCCAAACTCAAGCTAAATAATCCAAAATATGTTGTTATGTAACTCCAACCATACAGAAGAAGTCTGCTGTGTCCAGGCTCACTCCAGAGTTTAAAAACTATAAGCTATTTTCATATGTAGCTTACTTAATGCATGCTAAGGAATTAAAGATTAATTTATTGCTATGATCTAAAACACAAAAATGGTTCTATTGTACAGTACCCGAACAATTGATCGACTGCTGATATTAGCGGGGAGATGATTTTATTACTTTACTGTGCTGAAACTCCCAGGAAGAGAGATACACTGACACTGACCCACCTGCACTTGCAAAGAGTTTGTCACACTTTGGGGCCGGAGTGATGACGACATAGAGCCTGGCTTGTGCTGAAAAAGTTGTTCCACTGGCGATATAAGAGATGTAGATGTCCTTGGTGTACTGATTTGTGATTTTATGATTCAGAACAGCCGAACTGGACAAAGTAATCTAGAGAGAGAGCAGGAGAATTGATGCCGCAACCGTATTTTAGGTATCAACGCAGAGAACTCTTCCAAAAGATGGGATCGGTACCAATTAAGACAACTGTTAAGAAAAATAGTTCTTGACTGACGCCTTGCCAAACAATACAACTTTGTTTTGGAGTTTGTGTGCATCTCTGTTTCTGAAAGGCATCACTGAATATCCGCTTCACATAGGTGGATTCATAACAAATCCAGTATATACTCGGTGAACGCGTGCTCTCTGATAAAACAGGCTCCAGACAGCTGGTCCCTTACCGTAGCTGTGGTCCCAGTTGCCCTCAGCTGAAAGATCGATGAGCACGAGCTGGAACCAACGCAGTTTATTGTTGGGATGGAGGACGCCGGAGAAAAAGTGAAAACGAAAACCACTGTCCCTGGAGGACTGGTTTCTGGGATAGAAACTGTTTCCGTTGTAAAGCTCAAAGCTATCAATAGAAAAACGTTTGAAAACACATTCATTTAGTAAAGCACCGACATGAATCTAAGATCAAAATTCTTTTACACTTCTCAGATTTATTTTTAAGTTTGGTGTACACTTCTTATAGTCATACACTTTAGTATTGACGCCCTCAACATCCAACAACACAAGTAACTAAATTCAGTGCAATAAAACTACAATTATTTGGCAATTCTTGCAGATCATTCACTCTTACTATTTCTGGAGAAAGTTTTGACATTGTGTGCCGATACCTATGCTGACACAAAAGTAGTCCAGACCACTGTAGAACTCCAACTATTTTCCACATTAACAAGAAACATGTTTGAAAAAAAAAATCAGCAACACTTTAAATTAAAATGTATTTATTTATTTAAATTAATTTTACTTACTTTGACTGTGGGATTCATGTACTGCAAACACAAAATATTGATTAATGTTAATCTTCATAGAGATGCAAATAATTCTTACAGATTACAATTTCACAGACACACAAAAACTGCTAGAACTTTGCTGATCTTTCAGGTTTGTACTTGAGAGAATCTCATCTTGTGTTATCAGAGTTCTGCCCTTAAGAAGTTAAGACCTTGAGCATTTTCAAAAAAAATCAATGAAAATCTGTTACAAACCTGATCTCTCAGATGTACCTGTTACAATTTAACCCTACTTTACAATGATGCGTAAACTGAGGAATTCATTTTAAGGTGCGGAAAAAAAACACTAAATTGATGCTCACAAACAATTGTTCTGTTTTGTAATAATAGGATAACCATAGCAAATCCTGAAGTCCAGACTGAATACAAAAGCAAAATATACCTTGCATCAGTAAAATGAGGCTCAAAGAGAATGTAAAGACTGTGTTCATGGTGCCTCTCATGTTAAGCTCTAGAAAAAGACACATCAGTGTCCACTGGTCCACATTTCATACTGCTGTCTGTGATGCGGAGCACAAACACAGAGTGACCGGGGTTGCTATGTGATCAAGATATATGAACACTGGTAGCCAATCACAGCATTATATCGCTCCGTACACACACACTGTAATCAGCCTCAGCAGAGCTCCAGCAGTCTTAGTTATAAAAGCTGTACTGGCCTTGATTCAAAAACTAACTTTAACAGGCAACAGCCCACGAGATGCCATGGTAACCCCAGTAACTCTACTGCTACTGTACCTGCCTGCCAAATTTCACCAAGAGAACATAACATCACGGCGATTGGAACACTGTCAGGTTACATTTTAATTCTTTAACGTTAAAACCACTCAACTATCCAAAAATTCCACTTTCAAAACGAAATGAAATGGTCTTTAAAAGCCTGCATATGCTGAAATGCAATGCTGCATATGGTTACTATAAACACTCATGAAGTGAACAGAGCACAGATAAGCAGATAAAGAGTGGACATAGGTAAGTGCATAGAAGAGGGAAAACAAATCCTTATGCAAACAAAGAAGATTCTAACTAGTCAGTATAAAACTCCAAAGATAAAGCTTATTGTTGCCTTTAATCACAGAATAAAAGAACCTCAAACATAACAGAAAAGCTACTAGGGAGTGTTTATCTGGTGTCCTACCATTTAGTGACCCAGTCCTAATTAGAGTACCTTCTTACACACATTTAATGACAAAGTACACAGTGAAAAGCAGGGGAACATTTGCATTTCTCACTTTAGATCAGCTGTACTTTGTACAATGGCACTCATGAGAGAAAATACAAGTACTCTCTTGATCAATGTCATGGAATAAAATAAAAATGTACGGATGGACTTCATTTTACATAGTGGATCATCTGCACTGCTACTTTTACACAAAAAATATTGGTACAGTAGCTGTGGAGAATCACGTTTTGCCCTCTATATTCAACGGTAGTAGAAAGGTTTTCCAAAATGATTTCCAAAATTCACAAGACTAGTGAAATTACACTGGATATTGCCAGCAGCTAAATTACCCTGCAGCTCACAACTGGCAAAGGTCCGAGCCTGGTCTGTACCTGGATGGGAGATCTCCTGGGAAAGTAAAGGCTGCTGCTGGAAGAGGTGTTAGTGGAGCCTGCTGGGGGCGCTTTCTGATTGTGTGGGCCCTAGTGACTGTAAAAAAGGTGCTGTCCTATGGATGAGTCATGAAACTAAGACCCCGAATCTCTGTGGTCATTATAAATCCCAGGGCGTTTCTTGAAAACAATAGGAGGGCTACCTGTGTCCTGACCTAATTTCCCATTGGCCTTTACCAATCACAGCCTCCTAATAATCCCCATCTCTGAACTGGCTTCATCACTCTGCTCTCCTCCCCACTGAGAGCTGGTGTGTGGGGAGCAGACTGGTGCATCATCCAGGTGGGGCTGCACACTGGTGGTGGTGGAGGGGATCCCCATTACCTGTGAAGCGCTTTGAGTGGGGTGTCCAGCAAAGCTCAGTCCTAAGTCCTCAAAACTGTGTAGAGTATTTACAGTATTTGCGTACAAGTGTTTACTACATATAACTCTGTTGGACAAAACAGAATTTCTCACAAAAGTCAACAAAAACAAACTGGTGTTAGTGTGTCATGTATCAAATACAGACAAAAAAAGGCCAGTTGGCACTATTACGTTGGTTGCTGGTAGCTAATTAGTCTCAGAAAAAGTCATCAAGCCATTTTTTTCCCCAAAGTAGGCAGGGTATCGGCTTCAACAAGGTGGCCAGGTGGCTTGATTGCGGTAGTATGTCCTACAGGCACGGGTTGGTTAGAGCTTTAGAAATTGTGACTTGGAGGCCTGGACACAGCACACAAGAAGAGGCAGAGAAGGCAGGGGTAGGGGCTGGTGAGGTCCTGGACAGTCTGAGGCTAGCAGTGATGTTGGCAAGAGACACGCCACTTCTCCAACTCACAAGTTCTTCTGCGAGGCTCTGCAGAGCCGATGTTGTGTAATGGAGATAACGCCTGGGCATGACAGATGTCCCTGCTTTCTGATCTTCCTGCTCCCCTCTAAGGGGCAAGGGAGTTGTGACCAGGTCACTGCCGATCTCTCTTATTTAAAAAAAAAAAAAAAACAACAAAAAATAAATGAAATGTATCCAAATGACAGTTTCTTAGGAAAAAAACGCGAATTCAATCAACCACAGCAACCAAGCTCTCAGAAAATTCAAAGCACCACAAAATGAGCAAGAACTCAAGCCACAGGAAAACAATCAAATGGCAAAAATGTTTAATGAGTTATTAAAGTCACAAAAACAATGCCGAAACGTTAGAGAAAATGGAAATATCCATTCTCACTAGCACACCCTCAGCCCTTCCCTTTAATGTCAAAACCTATGGCAGCAGAGAACACTGGAATCTATAACAGTGTTTCAGAAAGGAGTGACTGACTTGTGAACTCCTGGATCTGACGATGACAAAGATTGAGCTAAAAACGACCAAGAAACAATCATAAACAGAATGACAAACGGAGAAGAAAATGCAGAAGACATTACATCAAGTGTTCAGAACAGAGAACAGATACGGTTAAGATCAGTCCTACTGGCCAAGCTCCCCTCTGAATCGCAACAAATCAACAAGCCGAAAAGCAAACATCATAATCACTGTTGCTTTTTCCTCCATGCCTGACTTTCAAATCAAAGCTAATCTCTCATTCAAAAGGGACTTTTTAAAGAGAAAGAGAAGTGGAAGTCTGAAGGTAATCAGTTACAAAACCAAAGTTACTGGTTTTGCTTGAAACAAAATATTATGCAGGATTTTTTTTACTTACAGTATACTGAAACTCTCTGGTAACGAGAAAACTAACATTCAGAAAGCATCTCAATTTATATTTTTTGAAACTTGAAATGCACCCTAGAAATTCTGTACACCTATCCTGAGTGTTTTTACCACAGTAGTGCAATACAACATTCAGCAACTTTTGAAAGAGCCATCAAGATCTTCAGGTTTGATTTAACAATAAAATGATAACATTAATTTGACTGGAATAGATCTTGAATCAGATTTCACACACTGGATCTTGGGGCCATTAAAAAGCCGTAATTTTATTCAGACACAAAATGATCAGGGAAGTCCACACCATAAGCGATGCTAATTAAACAGTAGGCTGTGTGAACGTGTTCTCTCAGCACAGACTTCACACCAGCTGTTAGGCTAACCATTAGGATGCAAGTGAAGCTGGGAGCCCAGCTTGCATGAAGCAAATGTTTGGGGAGATTTGGCAGTGTTTAAGTGCTGCATTAGAAGACAGCTCAGGGCTGTTCAATCCTGGGCCCGGAAAGACATACAAAGCCAGTAGTTTTACAGCAACCCATAAATAATAAGGAGAGACCTTGAATGCATGTTAAATTTACCTACTTCAACAACCAATTGACCCAATTAAGTCATTTAATCCTCAGATGGAATGAAAATAAGAAAGGCACTATGGCCCTCCAAGTCCAGGCTGGACGCCCCTGAGGGACGAGCTACAGAGGGACACATTTAAGACTGCCGTGCAAGTCAGAGGGAAAGGTGCTGCATTATCCAGAGCGCAATGTTCATGAATCCATCAGACTCTGCATCCACTTTGGACAGGGAATGGTTATTGCCAGGGTACCACAACAACCTGAAACACACAAAATGGCACAGCCTGTCAATGCTGGTTATTTTGACTCGATCCACGTTTTCAGGCACCAGAGAAGAAAACTATTTTTTGACACCTCTCTCTCTTCAAAACGAAAACAGCATTTCAGTCCTGCTTTTCCCTTTTTGCTTCATCTGAGCTCTCGATTAAAAAGACCATTAATTTAGCAGTCGCCTAAATTGTTTTCTGTACTCAGATCTTAGTTTCAGAAATGATCTCCTTTACGGGTTCTATTTGGAAACTCTGTTTCTAGCAATTTAAAATGAATGGGCGCTCCAAGCTTCCCAAAGAAAGAACTGGTTAGCAAACAATGGTGCACAAACAGGTGGGAATGACTATGTCAAACACTCCCATAACAGGTATTCCTGGTACTGCAAAGGCTCGTGGTTTTAATTAATCTGAATACCAAAAAACTACCACACGTTTGTTAATTTCAAGTTTCATTCTACTGTTGAAGAGGTGGAACTCCTACGCTTCAGTTTAAAAAAAAAAACCGAGTTTAACTGAAGGTTCAACAACCTCAGCTGGAATTAAAACAAAACGTCACAGAACTGGGAAACACTGGAGTTTCTCCTCAGGGGTGTACTACTCACCGGACAGGAACTTGGAGAGCTTTCAGGGCTTTGTAATACTCAATCCCCTGTTTACTGGGAACACGTTTGTCTTCCTCTCCAAGGGTCAACAGTACGGGGGTCTTCACCTGCAAAACAGGTCATGAACACTCAACCGGAAACAGAGGAAGTCTTCACACAACACACAGTGCCATAAAAATGATGCACGAGTCAGGCAAGATAAAGCACTTTAAGCAGAAATCCAATGGCAGTAGTACTCTTACCTGTGGCACGTATCTTATTGGGGATTTCTGGATCATCTGGCCCCAGACAGCGGAGTCAGGCAGTATGTCAGTGCTGTACGGGAAGCCAGCTTCCACCATGCACCTACCCAAAAACAAGAAATCGCTGCCAAATGAACTCTGCGTGTTTAATCCTTCCTACATCCTTCGGATGAGACGTAAAACCGAGGTCCTGACTCTCTGTGGTCATTAAAAATCCCAGGGTGTTTCTCGAAAAGAGTAGGGGTGTAACCCCGCCATCCTGGCCAAATTTCCTATTGGCCCTTACCAGTCATGGCCTCCTAATAATCCCCCTCTATGAATTGGCTACATTACTCTGCTCTCCTCCCCACTGATAGCTGATGTCTGGTGAGCGTTCTGGCGCACTCTGGCTGCCATCGCATCATCCAGGTGGGGCTGCACACTGGTGGTGGTGGAGGGGATCCCCATTACCTGTAAAGCGCTTTGAGTGGAGTGTCCAGAAAAGCGCTATATAAGTGTAAGCTATTATTATTATTACTTTTGACGCAATATATTCACGCATGCTCAGCACTCCCTTCTGCGGCATCTGATGACCCAGCAAAAGGGCGGACGCATACAGAAGTACTAGCACTTTACAACATCATAAACTTCGATGGGGGTTCTACGACAGAAAAGCTCATTCCACAACCGAGCGGCACCCAGATCTACAAGGGAGAGGAAGAAACACCGCCACTAAAGGAACGACTGTGGAGAAGCCGCATTACCAGTCAGGAATGTCAGTGCTGGCAATCATGGAGGCCAGGTTGATGACGGGGTTCCTGGCCACGCAGGCCTTGTAGAAGTCGGGGTACTGTCCGATCAGGTGACAGGCCAGGAACCCGCCATGGGAACCCCCGACCACGGCAACCTTCTGCTCATCAATGGGCTCCTTCTTCAGGACACTCTCTACTGCATACTGGAAGAAAGAGGCAAAGCAGGAAATACAAACTGGACAGCTCCTATGCCGAGAGCTACTTTATATAATGGGAATTCATGAGGCCCATTGAGACAATTCCCAATTCCTATTCCCCACTTTTAAAATGACACATGTCGTACAGTACCTGCACGTCCTTTACGTCTTGATCGCCCACATTTCCAGGCAGAGAAAGGATACTGTCTTGGCCGTACCCCGTGGAACCACGGTAGTTAACTGCAAAAACAAACACATAAGAGAAGAAAAGGAAAGAGAATTAAGCAGGGTGAAGTGCCTGCGGCAAGCTTATATACTATATATACTTTTTCCTCATAACATGAAAACAGACTTTTCAAAGCGTCTTGACTGCAAGGATAGCCCTTCGTTTCCAACAGGTCAGCATTCCATAATTCTCACTGATATTCCAACTTCTGAAACATGAATAAAACAGACGAAACTGCTGAATAAGACCTGTGCATCATGTCATAATCAGAATAGTCCTGACAATGCTTTGGGAATAATTGTGCACCTGTGATGAAGTTCGAAGAAGAATCTGGTGGATGTTCTGCAGTTGTAGTGTGTGCTTGTGTGTCTGTGTGTGTGTGTCTGTGTGTGTGTTGCAAGCCTGCTCACCTAAAAGCAAAGCGAAGCCCATTTTGCACAGGACTGCAGGAGACAACAGCCACTCTGCAACAATCACCGAGTGAGGTCCTCCTGTACAGGACAGCAGAAAAGAGGATTTATTGAGAGACAGGAGCTGAATGTCAATAATCATTAAGATAATGTATGCTCCCTTCTGCACAAAAGAACAAACAAAACTAATAAGTAGAGCTTAAAAATAAAGTAAATTATAAACTGACAGTGTGAGTCAAGTTAACACAAGGCGAGGAACATTTCCGCACTTTAAAAAAGGCTTTTTAGCAGTCAAACTCACCATGAGGAGTGACAATCAAGGGCAGCTTTGCTCCTTCTTTGGTGTTTTTTGGCTTCAGCATGATTGCTTCATATTCCAAGCCAGCTAAAACAAAACAAGAAGCAAAAATGCAAAACAGCAATGAGAGAGAATTATTTTTTGAGTCTCTCTTGGGAAATTTCCCCCTAAGCCTGGTGTTAGAAAACTGTATCTGTAAAACTACCATCAAAGCAGACTGAAGCTGCAAAATTAATTTGACCAATAAGAAAGGTCATTCTGTACACATCCCTTGGACTATATTAATAAAAGGGTAAAAAAATAACCATCTACCAAGAGCATATTAAAAAGGAAACCATGGAAAATCTAACCTGAATTGGCAAAATAACAATATGCGTTTCTATGCAAGTGGTCAAAGGATCACTAGTTTAGAAAAGGCATTGGTGAAACATATGAAAAGGACATTCACAAATGCCTTTTTTAATCATGGAGATGTCTCCTTAGAAGAATGGCAATAACAGGTCAGACACATGCATAATCACTTCAAGAGGCAGTGAAGAGCTCTTGTAAAAATCAGGAGGGAGAAGGAATAGAGAAAGGCCCTCCCAACTCACAGAACGTCTTGTGCTCGTGCGCAGGCGGGGGGGTGAAGGCCAGCACCTTCCACTCAATATCAGGCTGGGGCTCGGACTCCTCCAGCGCCACCCAGCTGACCCCCGACTCGGAGCCGGCAGCAGGCAGGAAGCCCACCTTCTGCGAGAGGAAAGCATGCAAGACCTGTGGGTTTCTGATCTGCAGCATCACGCCAACAACATGCATGTTACACAGGTGTCCGATTCTGCTTCTCTGGTGGCTTGAGTAATAAGACTTTTTTTTTGCAAGGCACATGACTCTTACAAGAAAACAACGGGTGTATATAAGGGCCTGTCTTTCATTCACTCTCACTTATTCCAAGATCTAGTTAGGCGTCATTTTAAATATTCTATGAATCAAAAATAAATGCTCACTCAAAGGCATAAAAGTGCTAATTCCTCAACATTATATCTTTTTACAGTATCTATTTTTTATATTAAAGAAAGTTAATTCCACCCTGAAGAAAAAAAAAGGTAAAAAAATACTTGATTCCTCAAACGAGTACTAAGAAACACACAGGAAAACAACAATGTGTTAGACATGAGAAGAGGCTCACCAAGCTGTGTGGATGGTTTGGGGAAGAGCAGCTGACCACCATGAGGTCTCGCTCAATGGTAAGCAGAGTCCAGCTCCCCACGTCTGAATCTGCGGGAAAACGAAACCCTTTCGTTTAAGAAAAACTTGCGAACGTAAGCGGACAACTCCTTCAAGACCCTCACAAAGCGCCTTTCAACAGAGGAGGAAGATGAAAGTTACTGTTAGTGTCTGAACTCCAGCTCAGATTTACTTACCTGTGGTTAGCGAAGTGATATCCCCAGTGTTAATATGCACTACAAGAAGATCCTAAAAAAATAAAGTGAAAAGAGTGCCCATTATAAGACAGTAAAATCTACGTCAGCTCCTAAGGTCTTATAATTTGGATCTGTAATCACGAGAACACGGTGTTTCAAAGATTAGTTCTAATATAATTTATTACCCTTTCCGACAAGTTTTTTTTTTTTTTTTTTTTTACAGCAGACTGTACAAATCCATTTCCAGGAAACGTTACTGTGGCTGTAGCCTCACCTTCCTGCTCTTCTGTGGGGAAGCAAGCACAACTCTCTGGCTGTCGGCTGACCAGCAGAAAGGGGAGAGTGCTGTGCTGTAGATCCCAGTGAAACCAGCTGGAGGAAACGAGAACACTTATCACACACGCTCACATCTATGTGATTCTCCGACTGCAAGCCTGGACTTAAAGCCTTTCACACAAGCTTGCTTCTGCGATGTGTGCTGTACAAATAATGCCTGAAAGGCTTTACACAGACACAAAATGAGAAGTGGATTTCCGTCTTCTGCAGTGAGGTACCACAGAAACACAGAAAATAATGTTTTGTACAGTGCTTTATCATTCTCTGATAGTATGAGATCTAATCACTTCACTGTATGCTTAATTAATCACGATTATATAGCACTTTTCATCGCAAAGATCTCAAAGCATTGTACACATAAAGAGCCCCATATCTACCAGTGAATTGTAGATTCAGTTCAGCAGGTACTATTCACAGGCATAGTAGTGCCTGCAGTATCGCTATAGAGCATATCAGGTAGAACGGTGCAAACTTCAGCAGCTGAAATATGCATGCTCAGTGTGATACATTGCCAGGACACCAGGTTTTAACACCTGTGCTTTTAAGAACAGTGAAATGGGAGTTTTAATAATGGAGTAATTAGGACCATGACTTCATGCCTCATCTAAAGCATAGTACATCGTCACTGGCAAACATGCAAAACATTTGATGGGTTACTAGAGGGGAGAGCACTACCTTCTGGTCCACCAACACCGCTTACTGCAACTGCAGGGAGGAATCCTGCGACAAGGCAGTAGCGCTGCTTTTACGTACAATTAAAAAGCACCAGAAAGACTACGGTAGGTTCGGCCAAGGTTACCTGATGTGGGCCTGTCGACAACGTCCACCACCACTTTAGTCTGCTTTGTGTACCAATCATACTGAAAATGAGGGGAAAAAAAATGTTCAGGAAAACTACAAATCCAAACACGCTCCTCACTTCCCCAACCACATGATTTTCTAGAGATTTCCCATATTGACCTTTACATAAAGAAACAAAAAAATTCAGTTAAACAGGAAATTAAGGGGACACCACTTGCGCATATTGCCAATAATTACACAAGACTTTACTGCGGATTGAAAATACCTGTAGTTTCAACATTAAACTTTGCATCGCTTTTATCTACACATGCTTAGACAGGGGAGCTCTTCAGAGAAGCTGAGATGAATACATAAACCCATTCTGTCAATCAGCAATGCTGCAGTATAAGTGTGAGGCACAACCATCTGACACTGCAAGGCAACAGGAATCCATTTATCGGTTTACGAGCTATTAAACATCACTGAGTAACATCTCTCATTCTAAAGCAAGCTGACCATGCAGAGCCTGTTACACTGCTGATGTGGCCCAAACACTCCACACTCCAGATAGATGATCCGACAACAGTCTGGACTGAGGCGGGGAGAGAAAACCGCGCTGGTGTCTGAAGAGAGCTGCACTGCAACAACAAAAACGAGAATGCGCACATTACAGGCGGTGCTTATGAAAAGGTCTCTGCAACCACAATAGCTGACTGAACAGTATTGGCCTTTCAGATTCTGCACGCTAGCAGCTAATTAAAAAAAAAACTAATTGTGTTACAGCACAGTAATGGAAAACACCTCTGCCTAATGACATTCTGTCCATAAAACATAACAATCCTAGCAGCGAAGCCACATGCAAAAAAAAATTACAAGGACAATGCCAAAAGGGGATTACACAAAGAAAGATTACCTCACTTACCACATTTGCCACCAGTCAGATCCACATAAAACAAGGAAGACCTAAAATACAGAACGAGCTTCAGTTTGTGTCACCTGGAGTATGACAGGTTCAGTTTCTCTTTCTCTTG